GGCCTTGCCTAACCCGTCCTTTGATGTCGGTGTAAATAACGTTGTAGAATGGTTATATGTTGGTTATAGTACCTCTATTCAGCACGCGAAGGCCTTCATACATTACAGTAACCTGCACGCAGCATAGGCAGGATGAACAATACCAGGGCATCCTTACTGACCAGGGTTTCTATGACTGCTTCTATCTCGAGTCAAAGGCCTTCTTTAATTTGATGAAAGTGATATAGAGAGTTCTCTTGTCATCTCGCGATAACTCAATGAGTTTTGTTATCGTGCGGAAGCGGTCAATCATACTGAATCCTTTTAGGAACCCTTCTTGTTCACGAGGCTTTCCTTCGTTCAGTGTTTTGTCAGTCCTGCTTAGGATGACTCAAGTGAAAAGTATGTAGATAAAGAGTAGCACGCAGATTGAGCGATGGTCGCCGATATCGTGGAGCTCAGGATTCTTAAACAATAGCACGGACTTGCTAGTCTTGCACTGAGTAGGAAGCTTTCATTCAGACAGGTAACGTGTGAAAAGCCGGGCTAGTGTATTTGCGGGCACAGGGGAAGGTTCTCAGATGTTATCCTCTTCTGACCAGGTGCTGTTCGATTCCTCACTGAGCAAATAGCATAACGACTTTCGAAAGAAAGGACAGGTGAAACGACCTATCCAATTCCTTTATTTCGTACTCAATTTTTTTGACTTTTTGGAGGTTGTAACTGCTACATCTGGTCTTCGGGGTGTAGACATTCTTGGTTCGTAACTGGCGAAACATCGGCAGGTCTTTCGAATGCTTTTCCCAGTATTTGCAGCTTCGACTACAACTGTTGCTACTCTCTCTTTAAGATCCTTTATTACCTCTATGTACTGTTTGACAAGTTTGAAAGTGAGCTCGCGGTTACCTGTTGCTCGTGGGATTCCGTGCTGGTGTATCAGGTCGACTTTCTCTGGATGCGCTCGTCTCTTGGTGACTTTCGAACTGTCTGCTTTTACAGCACTAACGTGAAGATGTTGAATGAGCGAATAGCACTTATCGTTGGTATTATAAAGGACGGCATCTTCTCAACAGCCGACTAACGAACAGTATAAATTCCTATTTACTGTAGTTTTCAGACTTCCTTTTTAGAACTTTGTTGTTTTTTTCCGTGCCACGAGAAATGAAAACTTTCACGAGCGTGGCGATGATCTGATCCCGTGTAGAATTTTGGGACGACAGCAACCTCGGTTAAGCAAAAGTTTCGATTTACTATGATGTGGTCTATGTTGTTATGGTACTTTCCACTGAAAAACTCCCACGTGCAGCGTTGAGGGTGGAGGTTCCGGAGTTGGGAGTTACCACAAATGGCCTTGCTCATAATGATAAACTCAGACACCAGCTCACATTGCTCGTTCGTTTCCGAGTAGTGGAAGCAATTGCAATCCACTCCTCAGACGTTCTTCTGGGTCTAGTATTAGCGTCCACGGATCTCCCTCATATGTGGGATCTCGAGCCGGCTACTCACGAGACTACGTGGCACCTCCCCAGGTGGCGGATAGGGGGCTAATCGCGGACCAAAAGCGACCTTTGCTTCTCTGAAACGCAAGTGGATTCAGGGGATGGACACTCTCTCTCTATTGCGCTGAGTTGGCACATACTTACTGTATTTGCTAGGCGTAATCATGCATGCGTATACCCACCTCTCGCGTTCAGAGTCGAGCAAGCTATACGTGGGTATCAAAATGCTAAACACAGTAAAAGAAACGGGCCTTATTCCCTGACCCCGACAGAGCCCCCAACTTCGCAGCCTTGAATAGGACGAGCACGGAGAGGCTGCTAAAATCTCAGGGTCAATGGAAGCTACCTGGATTTCAAAAAGCTACGGTGACGATCTCTACCTACAATACACGTACACTTGCATCCGAGTCCTCGATTGAAGACTCGTTCATGCAAGCAAGAAGGATAAAGTACGACGTCACCGGCCTGGCCGAGACGAGAAGACGCCAGCCCTTCAACACCGTCTATGACACAGGAGAAGAACTGTTCCTCGGGCGGCAGTAGAGGAGTCGGCGGCGTCGGCGTTGTTTGTGAAACACGAGTTTGTCCATAAACATGGAGTCCTTCGAACAGTTTACAACTTGAATCGGACGTTTACGATTAAAAGGATGTGGATCAATGCCTGCTTTGACAATCTTCGTCGTTTACGCGCCGACATCAAACTATGACGAAGAAGAAGTCGAAGCGTTCTATAGGGGCTTGAAGAAGTTCTACAGAGAAGACCGTCATTGGAACCCACGGATTAGAGCGGAACGAACAGGGTGAGCGGCTATCTGAGTATATCATAGCGGCCACGACCATCTATGATAACTCGCTATTACAGAAGCCTCACCCTTAGCGCTGGACGTGAGAGTCTCCCAATGGAGTGTACCATAACGAAATAGACCACATCATAGTAAATAGAAGGTTTTGCCTAACCGATGTCGCTATTGTCCCAAAATTCTACACGGGATCAAACCACCATCTCCTTTGTGCAAGATTCTATTTTTCGCGGAAAGGAGAAAAAGCCGTTAAATTCAAAAACCGAAAACCCAAGAACCACCATAAACTGGGACTTATTCATTAATCGGCTGCTGGGAAGATGCCGTTGTCGATAACATCGACGATGAATACGATTGCCTCATTCAACATCTTCACGTTAGGGGTATGAAAGGTCACTGTAAGTCACCAAGAGACGTCTGTCTCCAGAAACACTCGAGCTGATGCGCCAACGTCGAGTTGCACGAGCTGCAGGCAACCGCGCACTAACGTCCGAACTTGCAAAACAATGCAGAAAGGCGATAAAGGATGATCTTAAAGAGAGAAGAGCAGCATTAATGGACGAAGCTGCAGAAGCTAGGAAAAGCATTCGCAAAGCTCACCGAGGTTTCGCCAATTACATGACCAAGATAATTGCCCTCCGACGCCCAGATGGAACAATTACAGCGTCCAGAAAGGCAATGGAGAAAATCATTCACGAATACTACTCAAACCTCATCTATAGTCACGTCCATCTCCCGTGGTATGAAATAAAGGAGGATGAATATGTTGCACCACCGGTTCTCCCTTCTGAAATCCGACATGCCATTTCGCCGTTAAAAAATCCATCAGCACTAGGTCAGAGGAGGGTAAGACCAGAACAGCTGAATAACCTTCCGCCAGTCTTCGTAAATACACTGGGTTGGCTCTTCACACGTTACGTGTCTGAATTCAAGGTCTCTACTCAGTGGAAAACCAGCAGGACCGTGCTATTGTTCAAGAAGGGTGATCTAAACGATATCGGCAACTATCGCCCAATCTGCTTGCTGTCTGTCGTCTACAAACTTTTTACGTTAGTCGTCCTAAACAGGACTGACAGAACACTAGAAGAAGGACGGCCATGTGAGCAAGCAGGGTTTCGAAAAAGATTTAGTGCGATAGACCACATCGACGCGGTAACACGGCTCACTGAAGTATCGCGAGAATACAAAAGACCGCTCTGTCTCACATTCATCGATTTACAGAAGGTCTTTGAATCAATTGAGATAAAAGCAGTCTTGGAAGCCCTTGATTGTCAAGGAGTCCCTACTCAGTGCATAGAAATGCTTTGCGAAGTGTACAAAAATTTCACAACCAAGATATCACCATTCCACAACGATATTAACGTTGACATCAGAAGAGGAGTTAGGCAGGGCGATACCATCTCGCCAAAATTATTCACCGCCTCCTTCCAGAACGTCATGCCAACACTGGAATGGGATAATATGGGAGTGAAAGCTAAAAGATAACGACTTTATAACATTTGTGCTTGATCTCTACATAACGTCCAGTGCGTCCCATCGGGTCATCCACCGTAGTAATAATTCCGTGGCGTCTTTTTTCTGGGAAGAAAGTCATTTTCAAGAGAACATTGTTCGACGACTGCTCACCAGGTGTGCCAACGGTGAAATTTCCAACGTAAATCTCACTGTAGTAATCGTACAACTTCTGCGACTTCTTCTTGAGTATTTGAGCACGGCGATGATGTGGTTCGCTCAGGTATTTGTGATAGGTGTTTGCTCTAAAATATCCAATTTTCCTCCTTGCAGGCATTAAAATTACAAAACATCACGTGTATTCAAGATGACATTTGAAAAAAATCTTCTTCCAGCCTTATCTGTTTTATTTTTCTTTTTTGTTTATAATTATAGATGGTGCTGTTGCAGTATGGCGCGAGATTGAGGACAGCGTGTTAAATGCGTTGACCAATAGTATGCGAGGAGGTGATGACAAACAGTTCGCTACTGGGAATGAAGAATGTGATGCTGCTCAAGATTCAAACCAAACCTAATTTCGTCTTTAAGATTTTTAATGATTAATTTGCATGAAGATCTTACTTCATGAGGCGAGCTATGAGTGATCCTGACGAACGGGTCTCCATCTTGAACGTTTTCGCGTAAAACACCGCGACCAGCGTAGCTAAAACGAGGGTGGTCCTCATGGCTGAAAGAAGGATCATAAGTCCTTCACATATTTTAAAACTAAAACTAGATAAAAGATGGGATAGTAGAATTCTGTTTTTCTTTCTTTTATATAGGTCTTATGGCTCAGTATTGAAAGAATTTTGCTAACAGATGAGTCGTCATTTTCGGTCTCTAGAAACCTCACATCTCTCCATAATCATTTAGTTTCAGGCTTCTACTTAATTTTTGTGTGTCATCAAAATCTGATTTCTAGTCAACCTTTTCCATCTTTTGAAAGAACACGATTTTCCATGTGAGGCTTCGTTGGAAATTTTCCACTAGATTTCCTAAGAATGCGCTTCACAGGATGTGAATTCCCACATCAGAGTCGACTCTATTGTTCAATAGAAATTCTGTATTGTACGTGGTGTTACATGTTGGTAAAACAAAAAACATTTTTATCAGAGAGGTTTGATGCCGGCGTCGATTTTAGGAGCCGCTGTGGTGATTGTTATCAAATGCAAGCAGATTTAGGAGCTACGAGAGGGAATGGACGTGGATGCATGAGGCGGGGCGCTGAGTAGCTTTTATTCGGTTCTGGCCAGAAGCTGCGTTATCGCTGGATTGTTGGACGAATTATTTTTACGACGTTCTCATGTAAGATTATCGCGTATACAAACATAGCGGATGTTTGTGTCTGGACATATTGATAGTGAACAATGGAATGGTAACGTTTTGTGACTTGTGTCTATATGTACATATTTTCTGCTTGTCTGCCTTAACAAATAGTGCTTGCCTCAGTAGAATTTCTATTCGGCAGCTATTTCACGCGTTATCGCTTGTCTCCACAGACTTCACCAACCCAGATCGAAGAGAAGCTCGTCACCTTATCACTAATTTTTTTCGCAATTCGGGCGTTCGTTTACTCACAGCTCAAATATGCTTCCAGATTCAAATGTCAAACTTTCCGAACACATTTTTTCCGCATTATGACATTTTCGGCCAATGTGCAATAAAACACCGATGAACGGTAATTATATTAGCTCTACAGCAAATCCGATCCAAATACAGAATTGAACTTAAAGAATCTAAAAAGAAAAAAGAGTGGAGGGCACAGTGGTTGTGATGTCCGTCATCACGAGCATGGTGTTAGTTCGATTCCGTTCTGGGTGAACCAAGTCTCTCTTCCCTCCGGGATCGAGAAATTGGTACCGGACTTGTCTGGAAAAAAACTTTCTGCAATGCAAGTGGAAATGCTCTAGCCCAGCTATCTTAGGACTCCAGGAAGAGTTGCTGGGCCAGCATTCTACGACATTCAAGTCGAAACGAAAATCCTTAAACAACAACCAAAGGCACGCGTAAAAACTTGGAAGACCTTCGTGGATGCAGGATGCGAGGAAACGAATTGGATGTGAGAAGTGCTGGGATGTGCACATGATGCTGGACCAGATAAAAAGTGAAAAAAAGGAAAAAAATTTTATAATGCCGTACTACTGTGTACAGCGCGAGATAATTTAGGCAGAATTTCGAATACTAACGCTACACCATCGCCGCTATAGGAAATGTGATCAAATTCGCTGAAATTCCTTATGACTGGTTTTGTGACTTTAATGCGAAAATTGGGTTAATGTAGTGGATTTGAATTTCTATATGTCGCGGGTACGCCACCTTCGCTTTGGTGATAATGTTATCCTTATGACATTAAGCATTACCAAAATAAAACTGATGTTAGCAGAAAGCGTGACGGTATTTCAAAAACCGACTTTTTTTGATCCTCGATGTGACTAATCAACATGTATTATTTGATTCCTCCCAATGGTATACCGCCTCATCGTGGCTGAGAGGTGTTCCTGGGTGTCGTACTGCGATCTACAGCGGGGAAGATTCGTCTCCCTGGCAGGGTCTCCCAAGCTGAGAAGGCGTCCGGCGTTTGCATCAGGAAACCTAGCTAGGAGGAAACCAATATCAGGATCCATCACCATCTTGGTAACAAACTAGTCGCATAGGGCAAATCTTTCTTTGATCCACTAGGGCTGTAATTGCCTTTAGTGGTGACGACTTGGGGCAGATCTTGGCCAGACTGAACTCGTGAATCCAGGCGAACACAATGGCTTAACCACCAAATCTCCGAAAAATGGTGATTATGCTGGAGTCTGCAGAAGCAGTGAGGACGGGCTGCTAAAGTACCAAATAAGTAATATTTGATTGGAGAAAGACGACGCCGTAGAAGCGCTTTCCGACTGGAGTTTTGTTTTTTATTAACCTCATGCGAAGTTATCAATGAAATAATACATGATGTTAAAAGACTTCAACGATGACTAGTGAAAAAGTTTGTTTTACCTAAATCTGAAAAACGCGATGTTGAAAGAAATCGGATTTGTTTCTGATGCAACGTTCCCTCTTAACGGAATAAAGTCACGAGAAGTGTGCGACATTGGTACCGCTGCGGGTCATAGATCGCGTGTGTCTGAGTTTAGAAGTTAACATGATGAAGGCCTCGGCTCCGGAGCATGGCAGAATGGAAACAACTATTATACAGATTACCACAGCGTGGTAAATTCGATAGCGGGTTCGAAAACAGTCTCATCCTTGCCTACAGAGACTTTCTACACTACGACAAGCTTTGCCTCCAACACTGGACCCCACATAAACAGAATGCTAGATCCCGTAGCGTTATTGAGAGTGCTATCGGGACTGTGAAAGAACAGCATCTCAAGCAACTGTTAGTAAGGTCCGATCATTCCGGCTCAAGCTTACTGTTGAAGGTCGCGAAAATGACTTCATTTATTGACAGCGAACGTCGTTTCGGATAGAAGAATAAAGAACTTCTTGAAAAATTCGCCATTGAGGAGTTATACGTGGTTGCTCTCGCAGTTATACCATTTCCTTGTAGCCATCATCTACAAAACTCTTCCAACTTCTACGCGAAGCTTTGGCGTCTGCTTGAGGATTTCCCTTTCACCACGAATATCGTTGAATGCAGGTCGAGTTGACTCACCCCGGAGTCTTTAGATTCTCCGGCTAGGGCTTTCCACTTAAACTGCGAATAGTAAACTTTTTCCAGAAAAATCCATCACCAATTTCTCGACCTCGGAGGGTTGAGCGAGAGGTTTGGTGAGTCCGGAGCGGGATCGAGCCTGCAATGTGGCCATGATGAAAGGGATTACTTCCATTGTGTTATTCGCCCTGAAACGCCTAGTAGTTTCTTAAAACTCAGACATTAACATTCCTACACTACTGTCAGAGGGACGTTTAATTAAAACATGAATTTCACACTATAAAAAGCCTTAGATTACTCGGTCGATTTTGGAAAATAAAAATGTCCAAATCTAGGCTTACTCGGATGCTTAGACAAATAATCGTGCCAATACCGATAATTCTGTTATGTTGCTGTCCTACTCTTTCACATGTTTTCATGGTTATTTTAAGCACTTATTTGTCAAGTAGATTTCGCAATGCAGTTGCTGACCGGTGCTGATATGTGATCGAAATAACTGAATTAGGAACCATACACCACAAAAGGGCGCGTGTGGCGCAGTAGTCGGAGACGACCAGCAAGACACACATGGGATCGATTCCAGCGCCTGTGGCTCACCAACCCTTCCAACCCTCCGGAGTTGGTAATTTGGTGCCAGATTTGTCTGGGAGGTGAGCAGCAGTGGCTCTATAAATCGGTAGGCCACCGCGAGTCACTGTAAAGGCCACAATCCATGATTCAAGCATCTTCAACCATCCTTCAGGATCGTGGAATGAAATGCATGCTCAAAGATGTCTAGTGGTACCAAGTCATTATTTTTTATCCTCTCCGGCAAGTTTGACACTTTATCGTGTATTTTTAGGATATGGAGCGGGAAATGATTCGCGAGCACGTGCACTACACAGAAGTATTAGATACTGCACAGCACATTCCGAGAAATGAGGAAATAAAATACTTTAAGATAGGCGGTAAAACCAACCATGAAATGCTACTCAACAATTGACTTAATAAGAAGAAATCCATACCGGATGATTGTAAAAATTTTCCAACATTTCTGTGGAGTCACTGTTTCGTTGAACCAAAGGAACGCAGACTAACCTAGTGCGGGAAATATATTCGTACTGCAGTGTGCTGAGGCCAATGTGTACGCCTTCATCGTCGTTTCGTAGAAATCTGGATGAAGCATCACCGATTTCGGTTCTGAGTCAGGACGGTGAACTGCGTGTTCCAACTAGTCCCAGTCAAATGAACGCTGCTTAGCTATTAAGTGTTCGCAATGTCATATAAACGCAAAATCGATGTTATGCATAATTAGCACAACTCGAATCCCAAGGAAGACTCTTGTGAGAGCACAGATGTTCAATCTCTAATAATTGTGCACACTTTCAACTTTAGTTGCCACGGTAAAATAACTTTACAATTATAACGCCTGGTGCGAGCGTCACACCATTCAATAATAACTAATGAACCAAATTGGTAGCAGAACGCCGAACTTGCTGGGAAAAAACAAGGAGATTCCTGGAATACTTAGAAGCATTATTTTTGCACACAAAATAATTTATTTCACTACTTATTTATGTGGATGAATATATAACTGCATCTGCTTTGCAAAAATGTACAAACCCACTAAGCGATGGAAATCCCGGGACCTGCGTCATTTAACGCAAAGTGGAGCTGAACATTGCTATAAGAACGACATTGTTTCCAATAAATCGATGCAAAATTGCCTAACAAAGAGAAGTGTTCCGAGATTTTACCAGACTTGATGTTCGAGTGTATCCAACACCCATCACCTCATTGACTGATACTTTACCAGTGGTAGTACTAATGGTAATGGTCGCGATAAGATCTAGCGCCAAGATAACTCACTAAGAAACAGGTTGGTTAGACAAAAAGTAACTCAGCACTTCT